CCCCCCCCCCCAAAAAAAAAAAAGAAAAAAGAAAAAAGAAAAAAGAAAAAATATGATGCAATACAATATATATCTTAATCATTTCAACTTCACAAATAATCCCTTTTCTTGCAACTTGATTGTCCACTTTAACTAAAGCCTAGATGAAAAAGGCCACAAAATTCTAGGGAGGGGTATAATTTGGTTGAGGTTGTTAATTTTGTAAGCATAATAAAGATTGGGATAATGATTGGCGGCTGAGAAATCAAAAAGAAAAAAAAATAAAATAAAAAAGAAAGAAAGAAATATGGTAGACCGGTCATGAGCATGTGAGGCAATTGCCAGGAACTATTTAATAAAGGGGAAATGCTATTTAATTTTGTAAGAAATATCCTGCCCACCCCATTTGTTATGCTATGTATTGCTTGTCACAAGGTGGTGCGTGTACGTCATCGTTTTTGTAGGAATAATATTATTGAGATATAAAAATTAATTTTATTTGTGATCTAATGATGTAATAGTGATATGATTTAATAATGTTATTGTTATAGTCACAACAATATTGTCTTATATTACTACATCATTAAATTAATAAATTAGATCTCAATAAAATTCTAGTTTTTGTACTTGGTAGTTTAGTGCATATTAATGGACATTTGAGTAAATCACATGTAAGGGTGCATCTTAGGCGGATTATCCTGAATTCAATCCAAAAAAAATAGGGTTTAGTTTGAAGTTTTTAATACTTGGATTGGGTCAGCAAAAAAAAAAACCAACTCGAATTTAATTCAAGCAGTACTCAAGTTGAGCCTCGAGTTATAGGGTTCAACCCGAATATATAAATCGAGCTTAACTAGAATATTAAATCGGGTTCAACTCGAACATATTTAAAAATAAATATATACATTGATTGTGAATGTTGCACAATTTAGTAGAGTTGAGGTCTTTAGGGGTTAGAGAACCATTGGAAGACCCAGGCAGAGCTCCTAGGCTCTTAAGGATTGAACAGATCGTTAAAGATTGTAGACAGAAGGTTTATAGTAGTTCACTAGCTTGGGAGTTCGGCTAAACCATTCTTAAAGGAGTCTTTTGCTCCTGGGAAAATATTTATTGATAAGGGGGAAGATTACACTGAATATTTGTAAAGGTTAACTGCTTGGTTTTTGTTGTGAGGGGTATGCCTCTCATTTATAGCTTTCAAAGGCCTTGCCTGATTTCCAGGCATGATTCCTACCATTTTCTTGTAATAGTTGCGTCTTTTGCGCAGTCACTGTGGATGATGTTGAGGTGGTTGCGACTCTCTTATCTAAATGTTGGACTGTTGCGATTTATTCACAGCCTTCTTGTGGGAACTAGCTGTCTTCTTTGTTGTTCTTATGAGGTCTTTGTTTGCTGGAGGTCCCCGACTTGAACGCCTCTGGTTGGTCATCATGAGCTGTGAAGTTTGAATCCAGATTAATGAGCTGAATGCCCGAGCTCACCCTTAGCCAATTTTTGGGTATCATCAGTTGCCCTCCAATCTCCAGCCAGGTAGGCTCCGTCTGGCGTGGATTGGGACTGACCTACACCGTGGTGGACGAGATCAACTTATTCTGCCCTCGGGGTTTGCATGATGGGACGTTTTCCATTTTTTTTGCCGTTGCAAGCGTGCGAAGAGTCATTTCTACCTCATTTCTTGCGCATGTTCAGGATGTGTTCTCCATGTATCTATTCGTACACACGCCTTAAATGCCCTTACAGGCTAAACCGTATTTTGTCATCGTTTCGAATTTTTAGACAACCTTTCTTCTCCCTTTTCATCTTTTGCAATTTCTCCTTCTTCTTCCTCTTGGCTGTTCAGGCTACCTTGGTGAGTGTTCAGAATCATTTAGAAGCCTCCTAAAGCTTGCTCTGCTCATTCCTAGTGTCCACCTTAGGTCTTCAATTGTTGGTCATTCTCGATTAGATACGTCTTCTGTCTTGCTCTTCCTTTTTCCTAGGGTTTTTGTCCTCACTGGATCCTACGAATTCGAGGTAGTTACTCCATTTTTGGGCCTTTCGCTTCTGTTATATTAGGAGCCAAGGTCGTTCTTAGTCTCTTCTTCCCTTTTTCTTAGATCCTTATGACACTACTAGAATCTTTCTCTTTGGTTATTGGAGTACTGACCCTTGGGCTCTTGGTGACTGTTTCTCGAACGTTCCCTTTCTTTACGCCTCTTTTAGGGTATGTTTGTTTGTTGTTTGTTGTTTGTTGTTTTTTGTTTTGTGTTTTTGCTTTCTGTTTTTGTCAAAAAAAACAAACAAAATCGTATTTGGTAATTATTTTTATTTTTTGTTTCATCTCTGTTGTCTTGGAAACAAGCCAACAAAATGGGAAAAAAATTGTGTTTTGGGAAACACCTGAAACATGAGCGACCTGGGTTGAACGATTTTAATAAGGTCTCGAATTCGATCCTCATTACCAACAAAATCTTTTCATTTTTTGTGGAAGTATAAAAGCTGCCTTTTAGAAAGCTTCCTCACTTCGTCTCTCTCTTTCTCTCATCTCTCTGCATACGAAGATGAACCGAAGTGTCTGTGTATTCTGGAAGACGAATCCAAGCTCCATTCCATCTTGTTGCCAACTTGAACGAATCGATCTCCGTTGCTGCCTTCTTAAATGGAACCCTTTGTCAATCTCTCTATTGCTGTGAAGGTATGTATATAAACTCTATATCTACATAGATTTGTGTATATATATGCATATACATATATACATAGTTCTAGCTTAGATAAGTGTTTTGTATGTGTGTGTGCGCTTATGTGTGTTTGCATGTGTGTCAAATTGTGGGTATGTGTGTTAGTGTGTGTGGGTATGTATGTGTGTGTGTGTGTAGGTATGCGTGTTTGCCTATGTGTGTTAGAGTGTTGAGTATGTTTCTGAATGTGTGTGTTCTAGGTGTGTGTTTGAGTGTCTGTCTCTGTGTGTTGAGTCTGAGTGTTTGAGTGTGTGTTGTGTGTTAGTCCAGATGGTCTTGGGGAATATTGAGGTTTCTTGGAGGTTGTGGGGCATTTTGTCTCAAATCTTGGCTTTGTTGTAGTGTTTGGAGTGTAAGAAATTTTAATAATTCATATATGAAATCTAGAACACCTAAATTATTAGGTTTAGAACATACCTATATGAGTCATGATACTTGATCTTTGGATTTGTTTAGCTGAAGGGCAAGTTCTTCCTCTTTTTCTTCAAAGCAACATACAACTCTTAATAGGACAAGCCAAATTATGGTTATGAAGTGTAGAGAGGACCTAGTCTGCTATTTATAATGAAATCTAATAGACTCTTCTATTACGGGCCATAATTAGTTTAAAGCCTACACTTAACTGCCTCAACCACATTAATTAAAAGATGTACATAAGTCCATCAAAATATATCACTTAATGATATTGGGCTCATCTTATTGGACAAAAAATTCAGCTCGTTTTTCACAAACTAAAAATTAACTATTAATTAATGGAAGCCCAATATAAGAAAAATTCCAACATTCTCTCACTTGGACAACATTAATTGTAGTTATTTAAAAATAACATAAAATTATATATCTATTTTTGAAAAATGACTACGGGGCTAATCAAACAATACTCAATGTGACCACAATAAAAAATAATATGGTCATGAGACAACATCTCAAACATGACCTAGTCCAATAAAACTACTATTTTCGAACTATGACGGTCTTTACATCCTTTATTGATATAGGATCAATCCATGATTACAAAAAATAATAATTCTATTGACCTGAATCAAGATGTGGTAGTGTAACAAGAAAATAACATCTCAATATGTGATTTGATAAATATGATATTTTCATTGTCAGTCCCCAAAATGATTTCTCTTTAACAACATGCTTCAACAATAAGTTAGAGAAATCCATTAGTTTCAACAATAAGCTAGTATGTCTCCAAACATAAAATCTCAAGATTTTCTCAAATGGTGTAATTAGAGACATACTCCATTAACAAAATAATCATATTTAAGACATATACCAAGTCTTAAGATTTTATATAAAATGATATTTCATAAATATGCACACATATAACATAGCTAGAATATTGCACTAACAATAAGGATAATCATCAAAATATTTATTAAATATTACATATGAAATTAAATCAATACTAAAGTTCTTAATAAATAAACTCCCACTAACCAAGTACATCAAAAGACCCCAAAATACCCAAGTTATCAACATGTTTCTTAAAAGTTGCAGATTTCAGTCCCTTGGTTAAAGGATCAACAAGCATTGATTCTGTATCAATATGTTCGATCACAATGTCACATTTCTTCACAAGATACCTAACAGAAACAAACTTAATTTCTATATGTTTAGACCCACTAGAATGTTTGTTGTTCTTTGAGA